TACACATGAAAAGCAGAGACTTTTGTCATTTTACCACTGGCTGTTCATGGTTTACACTCCACAAGGTTTAATCGAGCATTTTATTAAAAAATAACAAAGTCTTTAGGGAAAATACCAACTAATTTAAAAAGGCAAATTCCACCCCCGCATGAAGGTTTAAATGAGGGTTTCACAGACTGATTTATTTGCCCACTAACTGCTCCTTTAAGATATTTTGGAGTCTGGACTCCTGGGCCGTAAAGTGACCTCTAATGGATGGATTACGTTCAGTCATTTACTTCAGAGGGCGCACAAATATACTTTGGGAGCATATTAGATCTCTTTAAGGCTTAGCGTGATCAAATTATTGCATTAGACCGGTCAACTTATCCAATTAAAGTTGTAAAATGCATGGCTCTCGCCCAAGCGAGACGGCAGATCCTCGGGGCGTCGGAGGGGTTTGCGGGAGGCTGAACCCTATCCACCTCCTCATCGGCAGAGCAGGCCTCGCCACATACTTCAGCTGAGGATTACAGCCTTTCATCTTGCTCAGACCGCCGGCAGCACACACGCGTCTTTGAGGCCAGATATGGCTTGTAGCAACATCAGCAAGGTCCAGATTTGTAAAGCTGTTTCCCAGCTTGGTGCTCCTGTGGTCTTTCTTTCTCTGGCATGTTTACAGGCTCACTCATTTTGCTCTTTCTCTCACTTAACGCCGCCATCCTCGGTTAAAGGCGAAGGCGCTTTGTACGAGCAATGCCCTTAAAACGGACAAACTTTAAGAAAATTCAGAGTCTCTCAGAAAACTTTTAATAGCTCAAACTATTTTGAGAATTTGCAGCTCAAGAAAGGACTTTCTTGACTTTCCAGTCAGTCTTTGATAGTTGGTCTTAAAGCTCAAACATTGCATGATCAAGAAAGGACAAATAGGCAGAAATGTTGAGCTGCTTCTCAGAGAAAAAAATGGACCAATTTCAATTCCACCCACAGGCAAATTCACTTACACAAAGCAAGTCCTATTAGCTATAATCCCCCACCTAAGAGCACATCTGATCTGACCTCCGCTTTCTATCTCTGCCGTCTTCGGAGCGGGGCTGCTCTATGAACATGACAAATAGCTTATTGATCAGCAGATGTCGTCGTTAATGTCCTTTCAACTTGGGCTGCAGCTGCAGTTGCCTGCTCCCTGCAACCTGTCCTAAGCCCCGAGCATCTCCAGCTGAGTCCCCTGCCTCCCTCCCTGCTCCCTCATCACAACTCCCCACTTCCCAGTATCTATGAGGGAGCCCCCCCCCCTTCTCAGTCCTACCCCACACCGCCTTCCAGCCACCCTCCTCATCCCTCCTTGTCCTCCAAGGTGTGGAAAGGGTCACAGACAAACGCCATCTGCTCCAGCAGGCAGAAAATGGCAGGTGAGACCAGCTCTGGGCCATGTGACCCCTTACACTGGCCAGCTATGGCCACTGAAAACAAGGTCAGGGGAAGATTTGTGGAAAAACAAAAAACCCCAGCTCAGCACATTGACAAATCAACAGTGGGAAAGTAGAGATGGAAAGAGGAAAAAAACTAATCTGCATTGTTTTAATCCACAGGGAAGATTACACAGTCACGGTGCCTTGACACAGCAGCTTGTCAAAAAGAGGTCATGCAAACTCACTCCCCGCCCGTCATGCTTTTTAGTGCTGCAGAGCATCCATATGTTCCCCACCACCACCACATGTCTGTCACTCAGCAACGACTTTAATAAACTCTTTTTCCTCAACACATCCAACCTGCCCTGACTCAACTGTGTGTCAGCGGCATATCAAGGCCACCACTAATGAGAGTGTAAACCTTTAAAAAGACATTTCATCATGTTTAATGAGTGCCCTGCAAACAAATGATGAATAACTGGAAACCCTGGGTTTGGTGTCCAACTGTACAACGTGTCTGATGTTTCCAAATTTGGATTTGCTCCATCTGATGTTGACACTGTGCCGTGGAGCTTTTGTTTCCGTCTGTCAAGGACGTGGTCACATTGAATAGATCGAGTGGGAGAGGCCGGCCAGCATCCCACTGGGGCTTTGTGCTCCATCAAGCAATGATGCTGCGACCGAGTGCAAGAGACGGCGATTGTGTATCTGCATGTGAACTCATGGGGCTTTAGGATGACGAGGATATAGCAGGTGTTTCTGACACTCAAAATTATCTTTAATTAGATTCAGATAATTAAAAATCCATGTTTTTCATTAACTTACACTTACCACCTGTAGCTCTGCGACATTTGGAGCTTGTTTTGGTACAGATGACACCCACTTGGCAAACATCAGTGAAAACTCCAGCTTTTGCACAACACACCACATCCATGTTTTCTTTTAATTTATAAAAATGCAAAAGTCTCAATCCACCACTCATTTCTTTCAGATTTTGCTTCCAATGAGCCAGATATTCTTGAAATGTATTCAAGCGCTCTCGGGCAATAGCCCTCCAGGCTTTCTGGAGGTCTTTCGAAGCTTTTTTTGGACATTGGCTACTTTTTCACTCACTTTTAGTCTAGTCCTTGTAACCGGCCATTTTCAGAGGATTATTTATCATTTCCTAAGCCATCATTTATCATTTAACGCTGACGTATGAAACATTCAAGCATAAAACACTCAACGGATGAACCAGTGTTGTGTCTAAATATAATATTCCAAAGATAACACAGTTTGACAGACATAAAATAGTATTTTGCACTAACAAGGTGATTTCTAAAGAGTTATTAGCTAAAAACTTGGCATATCTCAGCATGGTGTGCAGTGTGTCCTTAAAAAACTTGAGGAAACTGGACAAAAGAAGTTTCACCTATTTCCCATTTGATCAAAATATAAATTAAGACCAAGATGTGCATATTTAGCAATCAAATGAAAGTAGTATCTGCCTTCTAACATAAAAAAAAGTGAAATTAGGACAGAGATCAGCCATAATTGTCCAATCGGTGTACTTTGCCAGTGTGAAACTACCCCATAATATGGTACAATGAGAGCCATGAATGTAGTAGGTCACTGGGTCATAAGGAAGGATGCAAAGAACTAGAGGAATGTACGGGCTTCTCTTTCTCCTCTTGACTGATTGATGGGCCCCATATTCTTAGGGGTGGAGGGAGACATCTACAGCATCGTGAGATGCTGCCTAATAAGGGGAAGGAGGCAGGGGGTTTTTGGGGGGGGGGTTAAAGTCGAGGTCTATGTTTTAGCTGAACAAAAGCCTTTGTGAAATCATTCATCACTATCGCCGCTCTGAATCGAACAACACTGGAAAAGAAATGAGAACAAATCCTGGCTGGTGGTATGTTGTTTCTAAAAACTGAGCTTCAAAGACGAGGAATTTTCAAAGTACGGATTTCCACTGGTTTGTTTACAACATCTAGAGGCTTGCAACAATGCAGAGCCCCTCACTGTTGAATCGCTCACTAGAGCCCATGGAAGATAAAAGCAATCTTTGTAAATAGCACTTCTCCTCAAGACACCAGCATTACGTGAAAAACTTGAGCCTTTATCCTTGATTCTTTCAATCAAGATACTGAGTTGAAAGATGTACTTCAAATGGCAAAAACTACTTTGAGTTATGAGTGAGTTTATATCTTTGAACCTCAAGGAAACAAATGTCAGTTCTACAAGGCAGGGGTGCATTGGGGGATACTTAGAGAATCGGTCTAGTCCTTTTTAAAGCATACCAAACTGACCGTTAGTGGTTTGGTTTGGTTTCTCACGTTTTGTCTACTTTTACTGACTGAGCGTTTTACACAATGGCACAATGGCTAGAAAAACATTGTAGAAGACCAAGTTTGATGCCTTGCGGAGATAAGAGCAAAAGGAAGAGACGTGGCCAAAGGCTAAGACACAACGCTTACATGTCAACGCTTAAGCACTTCAAAGTACAACGCCAAGTAGCATTAGATTATTTAAAGGTATAATTTACCCAATCAGAAACAGGGTACTAACCTTGTTTTTAAGCCAGTTTGGACAACCTTATAAGGGTTAGGGTCAGGTTGGAGTACACTCCAAAGGGGTTTTTTTCTTCTCACATGGGGTACAAAACAGTAAATGGGAAGCTGGACAGAAGCTGGACAGGTAGAGCTTTGAAAAGGGAGCACCATGAGGAGAGCCCACTGGCATTTATCCACTATATTCTCACCAGTGGGCAATCAGACATCACATGGACTCCATGGTAGGGCGCTGGCAGGTTAATGACCAGTTAATGCCCAATCTACACTACTCTGGGCATTTGTGTTTCACATGCAGCTTCCAGGGTAATCAGGGTACTTCAATCAGTTGCAGTTGTACAAGTTCAAGGCTTTTGAAACCATTTGGTCCCCAGGTCAGTTTGCACAGGTCATCTAAGTGGCTATTAGGTCACTCTGGCTCTCACACAAGATGTCTTAGAAGGTTGGATGGGGATGACTTAGATGAGAGGGTCATTCCTTTACACATCACTTCCTTTATTAAGGGGCTGTCCTGGCCAAGTAAAGGGGATGGTCAGTGGTCATTTAACCCCCCGCAGCCACCCATCCTGAGACCCTTATTCCCCTTTCCCCTCTGTCCAACCCCCAGCCCCTCTTTGCTCACTCAGGGGGAAAATTACTTTGAGCCAGGGGAATTCAGCTCCATTGAGATGGAGAAAGGGTTGTACAAAAGAGGGTGAAGTTTAAAAATTGTCTCTCTTTTCTATGGGGGCTGTGCATCGCTGGAAGGGAAAGGATGATAGCAGCATTGAGGGGACAAGGTCATTAGATTGGCATCTCCATAAGCTCTTCATTTCCATTGTCTGTGCAAATCTGCTCCAAAGGACCTCCATGAGAAATGCCCCCAGTCAACCCCAAACTGAGCCTGGAGTCTCCGCCTTTGTCTGCCACTTTTAGTGTGCTTCCAACACAAAAAGCATTTCTCAAGAACTGTGCACAAAGCTTGTCTCAAGCTCAAAACCAAACAACATTGTTCTGCAGCCTCTGGTTGGCAATGAATTGCAGGCAGCTGCTGATATCTTCAGGCAGAACCTCTTACCTTCGGACGTTTCGGCGCTCCTCCTCGAGCTGCTTGAGAAGTTCATCAATGCATTTGTTGGCGTCCATGTATTCCTGCCAAGAGACAGAAAACTTTATGTGTAAAAGATCAAAGAGTCAAAATGCTAACACTGATTAAAGGAATACATGCAAAATCACACCCTGACTGCATCCTCGTGTTGCTTTCATAAATGTCAAAGAACGTCAAGACAGGAGTGCTTTTTAAAAGGTGTGATAATTCAGTTTAGCCTCTTATCCCCTCTCCATGTGTAATTCCAGAAGTACCTCTGGGTAACTTCTAATGGCTGGCCCAGAAGCAAGCCCGGCAGTGTAATGTCAGCTGGGAATAGCCCACACTCACAAAATGTGCGCTACTGAGTTACAGCACACACAAAATGAGCTAAGGCTGAGAGCAGAATGGAAGAAACAGATGTTAGGATTTCTCGGCTTTGGCCTAATGATTTGCTTCTTAGTGGTCTGACATCATATAGCAGAAGGGGGTTGTAACTGTGAGAAATAGGCCACATACAGCGGGCACCATACTTCAAACATCTGGGTTTTCAGATACTCAGTGTCTACCTGCAGTACACAGCAGAGCACACACTGTGCTGTCAGATCAGTGCGGTGGAGGTTTAAGACTAATTAATTAGATATTAGCTTGACAGCTCACGATACATCTCATGGGTAAATGGTTATCTCTGTGGGACAGATGCTCTCCATTGATTTCCAGACACTCTCATCATGTGCTGTGAGTGTAATTGAATAATGGGGATTCCCAAGAAGAAGTCCCTAAGCCAGAAATCTCAGTCTAGGAGGGGAAAAATGGTCGTAGTATCTGCAAACCATCCATTTTTTTATGTCATGTATGTTGATTGTGAAGTATAAATCCTTTTATTTTTGCTTTTACTGCAACTACGGCACCTTGGCCTCCATCTGAACATAACTCCCTTTGCAGCTATTGTAATCTCAGTTCTCTAATTAGTCACTACCAAAATAAATCCCTTCAGTAAAGCACAAAGTCACTGCTGTAGACCAGAAATCAAGGAGAAAAATGAAAAACAAACGTTTCCAAACTTTGTGGGAAAACCCTTGATGATAAAATACAGCAGAGTGTCCACACGAGACAAGTTTGGTCAATATGGAAATTTTTCTTGTTGTAATGATACACTATATCATAACAATACACTTTTCTGGGAAACACATTGGGAAATCCCGCATAATCAGCCAAAAGCAGCAACACAGCCTCAAAAATGACCAATTATTTGACAAATGGTCTAAGATTGCATTAATGGTCAAAACCAACATAACCCCAGCACCAACAATGCAATTGACCAGTAACACTGTTGCGATAACACAGCATGCTGACTTAAGGGCTTTCTGCCATTATAATATACTTTACGTGATTATGATTTAATCTTTTTTTTAACATTTTTTCTTGCCATAATAGCAGTACCCTACTGTGCAAAAGTCTTAAGCCACCCCTCATTTCTTCATAACTTTCTTCCTTGTAATGCTTTTCAGTGGTCTTCAGCTCCATGTTTTTCTGAAGGTATTTTCAACTGTTTCTTTGGACATTGGCTGCTTTTTTACCTCATTTTCAGTCTTGGTACCTGGTATTTCAGAAGAATATTTTAACAATTCAATTCAATTTCATTTTATTCATATAGCACCAACTGACAACAACAGTGGCCAGTGGTAAGGTAAAGACCCTACAATAATACAAAAAAATCCACCAAGGACCTGACACCTGACTGAATGAACAGATCTACTGTTCACTAAAGCCTCACCAGAAACAGTCTTGGTGGAAGGTTGAAAGTCCAGAAGCCGTTCTTAAGGAAGGGAAACAACAAAAAAGGCTGATGTGTGCCAAACTACAGAAGAACCGGACTGAAAATCTGTCGCAACAGGTTTGATGGAGTGATGAATCCAAATTTGACATTTTTGGTTTGAACTGTGATCATTGTGTTTGGAGGAGGTCAGCAGAGAGGTGCAGCATTGAGTGTGAGCTACATTTCAGCCAGTGATGTTGGAGATCTTGTCAAAATTGATGAATTCTGAAGAGAAGTACCATCAGATTTTGATCCACCATGCAAAACCTTTTCGAAAGAATCTGATTGGCAGCAGCTTAATTTTGCAGCATGACAATGATTCTGTTTTTCTTAGCAAAACACAAAGGATTGGGGGATGGCTCAAGACTTTTGCACAATACTGCTGCTTGGTGCCCAGGCCTAAGCAAAGTAACAGGTAAAACAGATCATTTACAGAAGCAGAAACAACAAGTCAGCTTAATATTCCCTTTTGGTTTCACACAGAGCACAAACCCAGTCTCCTGGGTAAAAGTTTTGAGCTTCACACATTGTCATGACTACATGAACGTTGCCGATCTTTATGCTATTACTTCTACTTATAAGCATTGTTTTAATGTCTTTTCCCCGATTCACAGGGAAGCTCTGACATTACCACAACATGACTGGTGAGTAGCAATGATGGTCCCTGAACACTTCATATGATACTGTGGAAAAACACATACACAATGATATCAGATACAACTATTTGGCACAGGCTTTGGGCTTTCAACGCCTTTATTGATTTTGCAGACATGAAACACTGAACTATTTCACAGCCTGTAACACAGCACTTTTAATATTGAACAATATGAGGACAGAATGATTCTGACCTCCCTGTGAACCACATCTGGGGCCTGAACAGACCTAAAGTACTTCTGTTATCACTACATGGGCTTTTTTAAGCTGTGGCCTTGAGAGCAAATTCACCAGATGTTCAGAGACTGCTGATCTAAATACATTAAGCACAGTTGTTTTGTCTGCTGCTTCTTAAGCAATTATTGGACCTAATCTCGCATCTGAGACTGCCACTCAAAGACAGCCATCACCAGCAGCTTGCACCAGTGCCAGGAGAACATGGCAAAGGCCCAGGTGTCCTGCAGAGTTGGCATTCAAGGGCACTCTGGTGACCATTAGGCAAATAGGGCCAAAGAACGACAACAGATCGATGCTTAACAGTGTGGTGTCACATTTTCCAATTTCTGTCATGCAAAAAAAAATGACAACAAAAGACATTAACTCAGTTTCCATCCATCATCCCTTTCATCGCTGGAATCATCCATTTTTACTTAATCAGCATGACAAATCTTTCATGTTTGGAAAGCAACCAATTACAGTGCCTAACAACACTGCCCTAAAGTCATCTGTCAGTCTCAGAGTGTCACAGAACAGAGCCAGAATGGCACTCAGACCCAAGGCGAAAAGGCCATTACTGCTCAGTGCTAAGTTCCCAAAGTTAAATTTACCGTTGGCTCCAGGAGTAGTTAATCAATAGTGCAAACCATGGCAAATGATTGTTCATGTTTGTGTTCTCTGAATTCATCCTGACCACATGGGTGGACGGAGAGAAGCTTGTAGCTGTGAAATGTGTTCTGCAGAAGAAACAAAGTACACTCTAACAGGAAGATCTCATGCTTTGGTAGGAGGTATGCTAGCTAGTAGTGTGGATAAACAGTTGAAACTGCTTATATATTATGAATAAAAAGGTGTAACTTGTGTATGGCAGAAAAGTTAGAACAGCAAGGTGAAAGCACAGATACATATATCAGCAATAACCTTAAAGAAGCAAATTCTGCTGCCTTCTAGGAAGTGTGAGGCCATTTCCAAATAATTTGCAGTGAGAAAGATTATTTACAAGTGGAAAACGTTCAAGACAGCAGCCAGTCTTCCCAGGAGTGGAGGCCCCAGCAAATTCACCCTAAGGTGAATTAGGTTTGCAAAGTTGCACCTGAAAAAAATCCCAAGACCTTTGCAACAATGTGCCTTAGATGGACAAGACCAAAGTGGAGATGTTTGACCATAATGCACAAAACACAACACATCAGCACAATCACCTCATGTTAGCTGTCAGCACGGTGGTAGAGGGTCATGATTTGGGCTTGTTTTGCAACGACAGGACCGGGTCACCTTGTAATCATTAAGTCCACCGTGAGCTCCTCTGTATAGCAAAGTATTCCACAGTCAAATGTGAGGACATCTGTTTGACAGATAAAGCTTCGCCCAATTTATGTCATGAAACAGGTCAATGATCCCAAGCACAGCAGCAAATCTACAACAGAATGGCTGAAAAATGGAAGAATCAAACTGCTGCAATGGGCCAGTCAAAGTCCAGAATTCAACCTGATTAAAATGCTGAGTTGGGACCGTAAGAGAATTGTGCATAAAGTCTCAAGGAACTGCAGCAACACTGTAAAGAAGAGTGGACCAGAATTCCTCCACAAAATGTGAGAGACTGATAAAGTCATTTAGACCTGAATTATTAATAAGTTATTGCTGCTAAAGGTAGTTCTACACGCTACTAAATCATGAGATGTGATTGGTTTTCACGAACTACTTCTGCATATTGGTATGATAATATATCATCACCTAATTCTAAACCTTGTAAAGACCAGATTATTTTTCAATATGTTCTGGTATGAAAAAGGGTGTACCTACCATAACTGTAGCTAACTCTAACTGAAAGTTACCTAGATCCAATTAAAACTGACATTAAGTGAACACATTTGAACATGAGTGGCCCTGAAGATGAAGAAGTTCAAATATGCTGAACCACTGGTCTAAAGAAAACAAGCATTCAACAAACCAACATCTGCCAATTCATCAACTAAAATGTGTGACTTTTTCTCAAGCGGCCAAGAGAACCTTCTTGGGTAAAACATCTGTCTCTGAAACACCATTAGCAACACAATCCCATAATGATTACGACTGCTCCACAAAGGGGAACCTTCTTTGCAAAAAGCCCTGTGTCAGGGGAAATATTTACAGGCCACATCAAAGTCAAGTAAAGCTGGCTAAGTCAGTGTTGTCATCACGTAGCCCTCGTCCTAATGACAGGGCACTGAAATAATCCTCAGCACACATGAAGGAATGTAGAGAATGCAGCATGCTTGTTGTCATGTGAAATAGGAGGGTATTTAAAGCGGAGATTTAAAGCATGACTCATGTATGTAATGCCGCGTGTTATATCTTCAGCCAGGCATTACTCCTGACGGTTTTACGGCGTGAGTGAAA